CTAAAAATAACTATCCAATAGAAATACTAATATATATAATCCAATAATAATTAATATAAATCTTATCCAATAAGATTATTCGTTAAAAGTCATATCATGACAATATAAATATAAACTTATTTATACTTATTAAGAGATTAACTAATTTAACTTATAATTTTAATTAATTATAATAATTATTATTAAATTTAAAAATAATAAATTTAAAAATAAAATATAAAAAAATAAGTATTTATTTTATATATTGATATTTTAGCAAAAGAATTTCTAATAAAACTGTAATAATATATAATTTGTTCTATAAATTATCAATATATATAATATTTTAATCTTTTTTATAAAATAGAATTAAGAATAAGAAAGTTTAAACTATATATATAATGAAAAATAACTATTAAATAATTTAGCAATATCTTAATTTAATATTACTTAGTAAATTAAATCAAAAAATTAGTCAAGATAATAGTTTTTATTTATTCAAAAATTTTATATTTGTCAAAAAGAGTAATAATAATAAAAAGTTAATAATAAATAATAAATAAAAATAAAATAAATTATAGAATTAATAAAATAAAATAAATATTTTTATATAAAAAAAATATAATAAAAATAAATAAATAATCATTTAAATAATTATTAATTAAATTTTTCTCGTTATCTATTATTAATATAATAAATAAATAAATAATAAACAAATATTTTTCTATTAATAAATATTAATATCAATCATATTTTTGTATCTATTTAAGAATTTATATTAATAATAAAAATATAAATAAATTATCTTTTCTTTTTCTTTGTTAAGTATTTTACTTAAAATAATTAATAAATTTCTTAAAATATTTTTTAAAAATTATTCAATATAATATAATACAAATTAATTAATTTAAAAAAATATATTAAACTTATTAATATAATCAACAAATTAATATAATATAAATCTTATTAATACTATCTATTAATAAACAAAATATATTATTCAAAATAATAAATTTGTTTAAACTATCAAAGCTTCAAAAATAAAAGTAAATAATTTCTACTTACATTTAATATGTTAATATTAATAATATATTTAATTACTTTATTAAGCCAAAAATTATGATAACGTCAATAATATAATTGGTTATATACCAACTTAGAGATTATAATATAGTTATTAACTTGATTAATACATATTAATATAAAGATTGACTATTAAAACAAAATTCAAAATAAAAAAATTAAAATAAAAAATATATAATGAAAGTTTTCAAATGAGAATTTCTAAGTGAAAAAACTTAAAGTCTTTTTTTCAAAATAAGGAAAACTAAAAACAAAAGAATTTATCTAATATATTAGCTAAAATATATTACTTTTATATTAATATATTACTTTTATATTATTTAATAATTTCACAAATATTACTTTAGTTACAATTATTATGCTACTTTTGCTATAATCATTATGCTATTTTTGCTGTAATCATTTTGCTAATTTTGCTAATTTGTTATAATTATTATACTAATTTTGTTGTAATTATTGTGTTCATTTTATTATTTAATAATATTAACAAATAAAATTCTATTTAGCTAATGTTCAATTAAGTTATAATATAAATTAACCAATAAAATAATAACTAGATATTCATATCATAACAGTATAACTAGTATAACAAAATAACAATTAAAATACAAATAAAACAATTTAATTCAAAATCAAAGTATAACTTATTTAAAGTAGAAATCTTTTATTACTTGCATACAAAATTTGAAATTAATCAAGTAAAAAGATTTGTTAACAAGCAAGTATTAATTACAAGTTGACATTTTTATTGATCAAAGCATGAGCTTCTTCACTTGAGAAAGCCTCTTCTTATATACAAAATTCAAGGCTACACTAATTACATGACAAGTATTAATTTGATGTTAAATTGATATAATTTCACATTTATTTTTTAAATATCTATTCGGAATAATTTGTTGATATTATTTCTTTGATGCTCACTGGAAATTCTTGGTTGATTCCCATCTGTGTTAGATATCTTTGTTCACAGGGCATATATTGTTGCACAGTACCGCGTTCATTTTCAGAGAAAAATATATAAAAAATGGCAAATCAGATTTGAACACGAAAAAATAGTTTTGTATTGTGTAGAATTTACATAAAAGTTTAAAATTTCGAGTTCAGCCACTTGAAATTCCGAACGAGTATCAGGGATACTCATAATCGGATTATCATAACTACGCCTATAGCAACTCCCCATAGCCAATTCACCCGTCGCAAAACCAAGATCACCATTACCGAAATGGCCCGTAAATAGGACCATTATAACTGGTGTACTTGTCAATTGCACGAAAACGACTTAAGATCGAAGAAGTGTTTATGCTTCTTTCATTATTGTTTAATGAAAAGATGAAAAATTCGGGAGAAGCACGACAGCCTTTTGACTTGTTTGTATACCCCAATGGTTCATACCCACCAATAATTTGACAAGTAACTGTTTTGTAGACAACTATTACCGGCCCTTCTCATCACATTTTCGATGAAATGCAGTTGTGAACCCATCACGTGAGGCACGGAACAATAAATTGAATCTGTATAGATTTCTCCGATGCTTTACAGTGTGATCTATCCAGTTGCCTAATAGTGCCGCATGTTTCCATGTGATAATATTGGAATCTAGTTTGGTCAATGAAACCCCGACTGGTAGTTGATTCAACGTGGATTTCGCGCCTCTCAGATAAAACGCTAACATTTCTTCGTATAATTCAGGTGGCAAACTTTTTTTATATGGTCTGATTTTATCGTAAAAATCAGCTGATGAAATTTCAAAGAATCTAATGAATGGGACAAATGGCTCTAAGGTTTTTCCTAACGCGCGAAAATCCTCAAGAGTCCATTCTGAAAGATTGGTATAATTATTATCATTCTTTTCGTTGATTAAAGGTGTTTGTGACCGACACCATTTAATCACATTGTCCCATAAAATACCCTCTTCGATTCCAAGGTTATTATGTTTTAAAAGCCTCAACAGAATTTCTTGGTTTAGATGTAGAATATCAATCGATTCTTTGATAGTTGAGGATCGGTACAGATGAACTCGAGACAATAATCTTGAAGTTTTACGCAAGCTTCTAGCTGAAGTATTGTCTGTAGAACCAACACAAAATTCTTTGCATGCCATTCACGTGCATTTTCGATCAGATATTCTTGTATATGATTGACTAGTTCCTCAAGAAGTAATTCGTCTGCGGCTATTAATGTCGCGAGAATCTCCGCTCTTCTTTTCCCGTTAAATCAATGGCACCAGAATAAATGTACCTTGAAGTAGTTCATGGTTTATGTTCAATATCAAAAAAATTCAAATTTTTTTATTAATACATACTTTAAAATGAACTCAAAAACCTCGGGTGTAATATTTGGTTTATTGAACTTTATCAGTTCATTTTCTTTCTTCACCCATTCACTTGACAATGCACTACGAAAGTATGAAGATCTGGCTCGGAGTATATTGGAGTGAGCAAGAAATTCTCTGCTTCACCGATAAGAAGGAAGATATTATAATCGTCAGAAGGTTGGAAAAAGCATCGTTGAATTAATTCTGCTATGATCTGCGAGATCATTCTGAAGTTTACATGTGGTGTTTGATCTCGCTAATCGATATCGATATACTTTTTTTTGTCTAGCGATAGGAATTTGAATATACTTTAAACAGCACCGACAAAATTAAAACATGGTAAGTTTACTGTCTAGCCGCGTTTATTTTCGCTGCAAGACTGGTAGTAAAGTATAGAACGTTTACTGAGCCTTGGATTTTTATGTACTGCTGCATATTATTATTAACCAGGGAGTCACAGTTGAACATATTAAGGTTTGTATACTCTTGACAAATAAATTTTAGGATTTATGGTCCCTTTATTTAAATGTGAAATTAATTTTGATTTTATCAGAAAGGTGACGAAATAGTAAGTTCTTTTTCTGCTATTATGAATATTTTCGCTCGATGATATAAAAATTAAAAAATTAAAAATAAACACCATTAGAATTTTCCCACAAAGGTAATAATAAATTTGTGTGATTGAATAAACGAACTATCGACTTTATATTTATTATTGTTATTATTATTTATTTATTGTTTAGGGAGATAATGTCAAGATGCACTGTAAGTTCCCTCATCCTAGTTAATGAACAAATAACTTTGTATATTATTATTTTCTCAGTCTGAGCTAATGAATATGTATTTATCTTTTTGCAGATGTTGGTACTTTGGAGGATGGAACAAAGTTCGATTCTTCGTATGATCGAAAGAAACCTTTTGAAACAAAGATTGGCGTGGGACAAGTGATTCGAGGTAAATCTGAATAATTCATTGACTTATATTCCTGGAATTTTGATTAACTTTTTATTATGAAAAAAATGTAGGCTGGGATGAGGGTGTTCCGCAAATTAGTCTCGGAGGAAAAGCCAAACTTATCATCACGCCAGATTACGGATACGGAAAACGAGGAGCTGGCAATGTGGTATGTGGTCGAAATCAACATTCAATTCATGTGAATCCTAGAGAAATTGCAATATAATAATTTATTCGATTACTAACTTTAATTATTATGATATCCTTTAAATAGATCCCACCTAATGCCACTCTTATCTTGTGAGTATTTTTATTGTTCATTCTTTCTATTGTCACTGTTATGTTCTTACAATCGAAACATTAAATTTATTTTTTTTATATTCTTTTAGTGAAGTTGAACTCCTCGGTATCTCTTAATCTCGTACTCGGTGGAGATCTGAACCATAAATTATTAAAAATATCATTATCACTTTCATGCTTTCAGCAAAAATAAAAATTTATTGTAAATCTTATTTTTGCTACTTGATGATTGGTTAGTTAAATAAATAAGTAATCTTCTACTGATGATCCGTTAACAGAATATAATGAATTCAAAACTATTCGGCATCAATAATAATACTTATGATCCCTTATAATCTTCAGTTTTGAATCCACTCTGTATCCATTCTCCATATCCACCTGACAAACTTTTAACCTTCTCTTTTTTGTAGCCAAGTCGAATTAAACTCTCTGCCGCCAATAAACTACGAAGAAAAGTTAATTATCAGCAACCAGATCCAGATAATAATGACAATAAAACTACTGACTGTGAATTGTCTCACCTTCTTACCCCACCAGCACAATAAACCACGACATTCTTACCGTCATCTTTGTTCACTTCATCGACGCTTATCACTTTTTGCTCTACGTCCCTTTCTAGAATTCCCCGTGGCAGTGGAATAGCACCAGGTATTACACCTTGCAAGTGTTCATCTTTTTCTCGAACGTCGATCACTACCACATTATTTGATTGGGATGATGACGGTGATAGAGTTTTACGTAGTTCTTCTGGTGTGATCTCATTGATTGGGTATTGTGATCTTACGTTATTTGCGAGGTCTAGAAAGCGGCTGGATGATGGAAAATACTAATTAAAAAATGGCAAATTAGTCCTTCCCTTGGGTTGGTTGAAATTATGAATTAATGAATGGAATTTTTACCAATGAAAAGTAGCGAGTTCGTGATGACGAGGAGAGTGCGGAAATACGCACTGCCGAAGACTGATTAAACTTTAATTAATTAGCGCTCTAGATGATAAATAAAATCATCGTTTCATACCTTGAACATTCCAAACATTTTTCTATATATTAAAAAGATACACGCGAAATTACTATGGCCTTTTTACGGCTCTAATTTATTTATACATGATCGAGTCATCATGAATCATGGATTGTGACACTTGGATCGTGACATTCATGATCATATGGTTGATTAATAATTTCAATAATTTCGAACATTAAAGTTTTAAAAGTAGAACAGAAAAAAGATAAATTTCATCGATTTGTTTCTTTCAAAAACTTGTTTTTTGAGTCGGATCCAACAACGGAAACCGGATCGATGAAACACAAAAGATGATTGTGATAGGAGACTTTAGGGAGATAAAGTATTTTCCCTGAAGCGATGCGAAGCGGATCCAGGAAAAAGCGAGATTTTATAGGGTCAAAAGAGTGATCTTTGCTTGAAATGGAAGAACTATATATATAGATATTCAAATCCATTAAATTTGCCTCATACCTCACCATACTATAGTTGTTGTAAACTTGAGTAAACTCTACCACCTATTTACTATCATACTACACATACCCCATCCTCTCTCTCTCTACTATACACTCCCAATTGAAATGTTTTCTAAAGGATCTTCGAAAAGTTTGTACTAATTAATATACATTTTGCATTTGTCGTTCTATTCGGTAAAACCCCTCGTTTTATAACCAAGCGATCCAAACTAATTTCATAAATTAAAAAAAAATAAAAAACGGTTAGAAAACAAAGATGCACCCATCAGCGCAAACACCTCACCACGCCCGTCTTCCTCCGATAACGGCTACAACAACAATCACAACTATAACAACACACCTTCAACCCCGACCAGTCCCACACCAATTTTAGCGTCTGGTTTGCTTGTCATCAATGTAGTTGAGGGTAGCGATATTAGTCTGCCGTCTGGTATAAAAGTTCCGCAAATTCCTCAACAGTTTACCACACCTCACACCAGCAACACACGCGGGAACAGGGACAGTTTGCAGAGGAAACAGTGCTGGTGGTTGCCATACGTCGTACTGGAATTCGATAAAAATGAAGTGTTGATTGATGCGCTGGGTGGTGAAGTGCACAATCCTATTTGGCGTTATCGTGCCCATTTGTGAGTTTCTTTTTTGATTTTGATTGGAATGGGTGGATAGAAATGTGGTATTATCGAATCGCGTCTTCATTACGCTGGGATTTGATGAATCGACTCTATTGAAAAAAGTTATGACGCTGTTTATTTTTCTTAGTGACGTTTCCCGTGAATCAGATGTCTCAATACAAATATATCTTCGTAAAGCTACTCAAACCGGTCAACACACTAATGATATGGGTAATGATGTATTTTTGGGTGGTATTAAAATCCAACCCAATTTCGCTCTCGTTAATGTAAGCTTTTGCTTATTTGCTTTAAGAATTTCCGTTTTTCTCAAATCAAAATTATAATGCATTTCATTATAAACCTTAGAAAATGCAAGAAAAATGGTATAAACTCTCAGGCGGCACTGGCAATCTGCATGTACAAATAGTCTATAAAAAAGATACCGTGAGTATTTGGGAGTTTTGGGAATGATTCTTGTACGGACAGACATGTTGAATATTTTTGCTTCTGTTTAGGCAAACACACCTTTGACGATTGACGCCTTTGATTTGTTGAAAGTCATCGGAAAGGGCAGTTTCGGCAAGGTATTAATTACACTATTATCACTATAGCAGCTAATTTTTGTCCAAAAACATGCGAAATTAATGATTCAAACTAACAAATTGCGTGATGGAACCAATTTAAAAAAGGTTATGCAAGTACGAAAACGTGATACATCTCGTATCTACGCATTAAAAACCATTCGAAAAGCTCACATCGTATCTCGTTCAGAAGTCAATCATACCCTCGCTGAACGTACCGTCTTGGCACAGATTAACAATCCGTTTATCGTGCCTCTAAAGTTTTCCTTTCAAAGCCCGGAGAAACTGTATCTCGTTTTAGCTTTTGTTAATGGTGGAGAATTGTTCCATCATTTGCAGCGGGAAGGACGATTTGATGAAGTGCGATCAAGATTCTATGCAGCCGAATTACTTTGTGCATTGGAATGTTTACATGATTTCAATGTGGTTTATCGGTAAGTACCAATTTTCGCAATTTAAATTTAAATTGATCATTAACCAACCATTTCATAAACTAAATTTTTTTTCTCATAGGGATTTAAAACCAGAAAATATTCTTTTAGATTATACTGGTCATATTGCTTTATGTGATTTTGGTCTTTGTAAACTAAATATGACTGAATCAGAGACAACCAATACTTTCTGTGGGACACCTGAATATCTTGCCCCTGAACTTTTGCTAGGACAAGGATACACAAAGACTGTCGATTGGTGGACATTAGGTGTCCTGTTATTTGAAATGTTAACCGGTTTACCACCGTATTATGATGAGAACACCAACGAAATGTACCGGAAAATTTTGCAGGATGAACTCAGATTCCCCGATGAAGTTGGAACTGAAGCAAGAAGTTTATTGATGGGGGTATTTATTACTATTATTTCGGATATCCTGTTAGGATCTGAATCAATTCAAAGATTGTTAGATTAATCATTCTTGATTCTCTAAAGCTTTTAACCAGAGATCCTAGTCAACGTCTTGGGAATAACGGTGCTCAATATATTAAGGATCATCTATTCTTTGCCTCTATTGATTGGAGAAGATTAATCCAAAAAAAGGTGCAACCACCATTCAAGCCGAGTGTGGTACGTATACCTCTTACCTTCTATATTACACCCTTTGTTGCGTCACTAATAAAATAATAAATCAAATAACACGAATAAAAAATAGGAATCCGCTATCGACACTTCAAACTTTGACGAAGAATTCACATCAGAACCACCTTTAGATTCTGTAGTCGAAGATTCAACTCTGTCAGAAACAATACAAAAACAGTTTGCCGGGTTCACATATAACCCACATGAGAATGGAGTGATGAGTGAGAGTTTGGCAAATTCTATTGGTGGACTTTAAAAAAAAATGCTTGATCTTTATCAAGGGTGAAATTTAATTCATTTCATCACGCTCGAATGATCAAAAATCCGAGCGAACGTGGGTGAAATGAATCTCACCCTCACCTAAAAAAAAGAAAACCAAAAAAAGGAAAAATTCACCATTAAAGAGCCACCATCATCATCAAGGTTGGTTCTTGTTATCGTGTAAACGAAAGAATATAAAAGGTAAGAAGGAAAGATTGTGCGTGTGTACAAAGCTCTTATTCTTCTTTTTCTTCTTGTTTCATATTTTCTTTAGTTCTTTCATTTTCATCATCACTTTTGTGTTATATACTTATTATTACTATTATTTAACTTGTTCATATTTTTCATTTGCTTGCTCACCAAGAAAATTTTGTTGTACCTTTTTTTTCTTTTGCTTTGTTTCTTTGTTTGCTTTATTTATTCTCTGCGACACACACCCACCCCCCTTAGAGATATGCATATACGTATACGTATACATATTGAGCGAGTGAATAAGTGATCGAAAATTACTATTATTACATTTGCACAGTCCTTCCTTTGTTATTCAAGTATTCTTTTTTTTCTCCTTATTACTACTTATTCCACTTCATTATTTTTATCTACTTCTCTACATACACACATGTTCACGTTCCCTTTATACCATTGCAACAAGTATCCCGTGTGTGGTGTGTATTAGTAGCAATTTTTGAAAATCTCTTTTTATATATATTTATTTTGGGATTCTATTTTTGTATAAAATGCCCGATTTTATCATTAAAAAAAAAACATTGGTTGTTCGCATACATAAAAATTCGGTGACATTTCTTAACGATGATGCCAATAAATAATATATTTTTTCAAGTTGTCTTTTTTCACGTTGACCAATTTGAAATAATGTATAGCGACAGCAGCCAGATTTGTCTGGTGCAACTCGAATTCGAGAGCACGATGATGGTTTGATTCGTTGCTTTTCTCTAATATGTCACGATGACTGATGATTGATTTTAAACACGATGGATAAATTGTTTTTAATTATGTTTGAGGTGAGCAATAAACATACGTGAATCTAAATTCTATTTTAAAGGGAGGAACTACAACTTGCATCTCTAGGCAATTGTCAGATGAATATTCTACTTTTTATTATTGACATTTAATAGGAATAGAACCCTTTACCAGTTTTTCGTCCAAGATTACCGGCAGCGACGAGATCGTCAAGCAGTTTGACAGACGCAACTAAGTTTGCGTCTACCTTTCCATCTGCTCGCCAGCCATCGACGATGAATTTGAGAGTGTCCAATCCGACAAACTAATGATAATAATGCAGTCCAGATATGTGTAACTATTAAACGAGTTTAAATGATTCGAAGAGAAACGGTTAATAAACGTACGTCTGATAACTCAAAAGGGCCCATTGGCATTCCAGCTCCCAGTTTCATTGCAGTATCGACATCTTGAAAAGTTGCTTCACCACGTTCAACGACACGCATAGCTTCCATTAGGTAGGGCACAAGAAGTCGATTGACAATGAATCTTGAGAATCATATCGATATATAATAATACAATTATTAGTTTGATGGGGAAAGGATAAACATAAAAATAGAAAACATACCCAGGAGTATCCTTGCATGCTACCGGTGCCTTTTGCATCTTTTTCGTGACTTCAGTCAAGGTGTCAAACGTATCCTGACTCGTTTTATCTGTCCTCACCACTTCAACCAACTTCATCTGCGGCACCGGGTTAAAAAAATGCAGACCCGCAAATTTCTCAGGTCGTGCTGTCGCCTGAGCAATGTCCGAAATAGGTAAACTTGATGTATTCGACGTGAAAATCGCATGCTCTGGTGCCTCTTTATCCAACGTCGAAAATAATTTCCGCTTTTTATCGATATTTTCCACTATTGCCTCAATAACAAGATCAGATGCCTTGACCGACTTTGACGAGTCTGTACTGGTGGTAATGTTAGCGAACGTCGACTCGATTAGTTCTTTTTGTTTCGCTTCGTTGTCTTTGTACAATTTTTTGCCGACACGTACCAATGATGCGTGGATAATGTCGCGGCCTTTTTGCAGGTATTGTTCGTCGAGGTCTACCATGGTTACCTTGTACCCGTTTTGGGCGGCTACTTGCACTATACCTGCACCCATTAAGCCTGAGCCGTAGACTGTAATGTTGTTTATAGCATTTTGGGTGGGTGCTGATGTGGAGAAACAGTTGGAATTATGGTGGCTGTAATTATGTGTGATAATAGTACTGTTCAGTAATGCCGCTGCCTGTTTTTCAAAGGGAGTGGCATGGTGAGAGAATGTTGTACCTCTTGAGGTGGTCCTGCGTAAAGCGATGCGTAAAAAGTGGTTCATTTTTGATTATTTTATTGAAGTTTGAACAAGGGAAATCGATCAAAAAAATTTTTGTTACACCAGATGTAAATGGTCATTGTTAAATGCAATCTATGCGTCTGGCAACGTATGTTTCAGCAGAACGTGTTATTATTTATTAGTTCGTGCGATGGCATGTAAACCGCCCAACTTTGCTTGTATCGTCGGTAGATAATTTTTTATTTCTTCGATTGATAATTTCTTCATTAACTAAAAAAATGCATTGGTCCAATTTAAGCTGCCACTGCCGAGAAATGGGGTATCGGAATAGAAAATAGACTTCCATGGAAAATAAAACGCGACATGAACTTCTTTGTGCAGGTGACAAAACGGGTGATAATTGATCATGATGGTAATAAAAGAGGAAAAGAAAATGATGATGATGATGATGATGATGATGATAGTAAGAAGGAAGCATCAGCAAAAATCAACGCAGTAGTAATGGGACGGCGGAATTGGGAATCTATACCGCCAAAGTATCAACCGTTAAAACAACGATTGAATGTTGTGTTATCACGAACATGGAAGGTTCCTCCTTCTCCCCCAATCAGCATTGATCGACAAAGCAACAATAGTAACACAGAAAGGTAAGTAGTATTTTTTCATTATGCTGATGTACCTATTTATTTTTCTTAACCGATCCATTTGATCATACATAATCGATTAGCTCTCTAGCTCAAGATTTACCGCCATTGTCATTGTCATCGTCACCTCCAATCCTATTATTCAACGATTTCTCGACCGCAATTGACAATCTGTCCGCCAATCCCCAAGTTTCACGAATATATATAATCGGCGGATTAGCTGTCTATGCAGAAGCAATGACATCACCGCTATGCACACACATCCTGCTCACACGAATCTATAAAGAATTCGAGTCGGACACGTTTTTACCGCCGATTGATGAGACTGTGTATCAACAAACGACGCACGAAGAACTCGTAAATTTTGTAGGGATGGATGTGCCGAAGGGTGTTCAGGAGGAGAATGAGATTCCATTCGAGTTCTTGATGTATAAAAGAGTTATGTAGTGCTTCCAGCAATGAAAACTTAGTGGCTCAAAATAATTGTGAGAATAATGTTCTATTAATAAATGTACTTGTTATTTCTTGATTGTCTAATCAAACCAACGCACACACGGCGTTTAGATTGCAGATTGGTTGTGACGCACAGAACTTGTAATATTAAAGATCAACAACGCGAATTAAATTTGTGAAACGTCAAAAACATCAAAAAAATACGTCATCATCGAACCCCTCATATAATTTATACCAATTTTTTTCCCTCCTTCCTCTTTACTCATACATATTGCATATCACCGACCAACTAACTACTACTACCTCTCATTTAACTCATTGTTTGATTTCTATCTCATCACTCTTTCTTCATACCACTTGTTGTTGACAACAGTTATTTGTCTGAGAAGCGCTTTTGTTAATTATAAAATATGGGCTGTTGCGGAAGTAAAGAGTTGATTGATGGGTCAAAGGTGAATACGAGCTTTGTGGCGTGCTAGATTTGTCAAAGGTTAATGGGTAGATTGGGTAATTAATTGCAAGTATATACAAACACTTACTCATTTCTTTCACTATGGGCTCTCGTATACGTGCACGCATTACGCGACTTAGCCGAATGATAGAACTCCCCTTATATCTCGTGATGGCTCAACATTTGATTCGTTGTATGTTGCTATTTTATTATTGCCATCTTATATGCAAATTGCGAATAATAATCATCACAGTCATATTAATCCTAATTGAAACTTGTAGGCATAATAGGATGAGTTATCAACGTTATGATGCTGCAGCAGATCAAGCAAGGGAACGCGAGTCGTTACAGAAAATAGTTCAGCGAACAGCAGAGTATTTATTGTTTACTTTATTTATTTAAATTGTGTACTCGAGATGATTATCAATTAATTGGCGATTTTGAATAATTGTTATTGAAGGAATTTGATCGATATATCAAATACTCATTTAACGGAACGATTGCAACAACAGGATGCGATTGATCGTGCAAACGAGTACAAGTAAGATTTTAGAATGACGATTGATTTATTATTAGTCAAAAATGATAACAATAAAATTGTTGAATTTTTCCAAAAAAAGAGATTTGATTAGCAGCATCAAACTCGACGAGAAAGCTTTGAAAAAACTACAAGAAAAGAGTAGCACCTTGCCAAAGTTGCAACAAAAGACTATCTCCTCTACGACTATTGCATCACAATCACCACCGGCGAGTAATAATAATACTCGAGCCACGTCCCCGGGTGCAATTCTGTCAGAGAATTCTTTAACGAAGAATGATGTGGAGTGGGTGAGTTTGTAGAATATCTTTGATTTAAGTGATTTATTTTTTAAAGTTGGTCGGTTTATTAATGATTTTTGATTTATTAATGAAAATAGCTATCAAAAGCCATGAATGAAATACATGATGCAATCAATCATATTGAAGTTCAATTCATGGGTGATTTGGTAGTTCCTTTAACGTGGAACGCACCATCGCCTGTTCATCCTGCTCACGGATAAATTCATGAGAAGATGGAAACTTGTATGTATGGGTCTTTGATTTTTGGATATTTGTTTGTATCATCAACGATGATGTTGCTATAATATTGTTATTACTGTGTTATTTAGTTATTATTATTTGTTATCATATATTGATATATGATGAAAAAATAAAAAATTTATGACGAGAATATTCTTTATTGCGATGAGGATAAGTATAATTGTTTTAACCTTTGTATTCAATTTGATCTTTAAAAACACAGTATGATTTGAGTGTAAGTTTATTAATGGAATGATGTTGTTTATATCTACAAATACATTGTTAAATAAAGGCTGAAAATCATCACCCAAAAAACTTTCGTATTCGTTTATTAAAACTAACTTTACTACTAGTCACTTCATCCTGAATCGCGACAGTACTAGCCAAAATGTACTCTTGCCAATATCTTCCGTCATCTTCTGCTATAATATTGTAACTATTGACTGGGAAACTATATTTCGACTTTACATTTGAGATTGTAGAGGTGAATGAGCACAATGATGAGTGCGTCGACTCACGATTACTAAGTGATGATTCAAAATCCGAGGCTCGGCCACCGGATAATCCAGAGAATCGTGATAATCGATCAGCAATATTGGGATTCCAGCCAATTGGTGCTTGTCCGAAAAATACAATGTCGAATTCGTTTTCGACGTTTGAAGATCGAAATTCTGCGAGGGGTGTTTTTGGATCGTTGCATGCAACAAAAGTCCATTTATTCTCACATTTCTTTTTGGATTCCAACGATTTTACCCATTTATATCGTTGTAAACATGTATTATCAAATGGTGTAATAACATCACCATAATATTCTATTGTTGATGACGAAGATGATTCATTATCATTGGTTTGTTTCTTAAACGTAGAAACGGATCCAGTTGGGACGTATTTGATGGTAAATCGGTTTGGTCTCCGTGGTTTTCTCAGTATTTTAGAGCGTTTTATTTTGGGTGGTTCAATGCTCCAAATTGTTTTAGGTGTTCTGGATGATATTGTTATGCGAGATTTTATAGTGGATCTGTTGTCACTTGTCGTCGGAGTCGTCGGCTGCGGCGGAGAAAATGGCGCTGTATTTCGCCCTGAAACAGACATTAATGCTTCATTAAACCAAAAAATATTATGTCGTTCATCCGGTTTTATCACTTCACGATAATACGTTGGAGGCGTGTTGAGTAGAGCGATGTAATTGTTACGTTGTTGATATTCTTCGTCAGGTAATCTGAAAAACAGTTGCGTGTGACTCGAGTCATCATAGTCTTCAGAGTTGTAAGTTTTTACAAGCTGATTTTATAAAATTATTGTTTTAATCGGGGTTAACTAAAGAATACGTACTTGGTTCTGTACACTTACCCTGTATGTAGCGGGACTAATACTAGCATTACTGTTGGTAATATTAGGATTAGTAGTAATGCTATTTATTTTGTATGAAGAAAAGGGCTTTGTTTTGGTTGTCATTTCGATTTTTGGTTCGAAAGAAACGAACTTGCAAGAAAAAAGGAAAGGAAGGATAGTATATATAGATAATAATATAAAAAATTTTTGGAAAAGAAAAGAAGGAAGGGATCATGTTCAATTTATTTCATTTGAATCACCACTATTCAATCCCTTCTATTTGATGTATAAAAGTAGGTTTCTCTGGTTTACACACGCGTGTTGCACGACACGATATTAAAAGTTTATGCATCGTCATCGTCATCCTCGTGTAATGATTTTATCCAAGATTATCTTACTCGGGCGAAATTGCTTAAACATCTAGACCTCTTAAAGGATACGATGCTCGCTTTGCCAAGAGTTTACCTTTCGTGTCGTTCAAGCAGATGTGCGCGTTATTCAATAAAATTCGTTTCATGCAAAGGTGCATTTAATTTTTCTGGAACAAGTTTGTAGATCAGTAACACAATGAAATATTGATTTTAAAGGGGTTTGAGGTTAAAATTATACAGTAACTAAAAAAACGGAACACGAAAAAAATGGCGAGATTTTAATATCTCACCATTGAAGAATTATCGGAGATCAAAAGAAAATGGATTTTCATTCACTAATAATTGTGGCGGATTAAAATGAAACAAAATGGATGTTTAAATAATCATAGGACAATATATTACAGATTTTAATGCTATGCTCTGAAATTTTTATCCCATAAAAAAAGAGCCATATAATCTGATTTCGTTTTAATCTGTCACAATAATCATTTTATTTTATTTATTTTTTTGAATTTAAACTAATTTGAATTTTTAATTTTTTTAGTGTCCTATTTATTGTAACCGATCTGGAGAACAATATTTAAAGACGAGTTTCTTCTTAGCATTGTTAAAAAAAACACATTATACGTTATTAAACTAAAATTATCATTCTACATATCACTGATTCTTTTTGATATTGAATTGAATAATCTTTTACGAAAGTTGATTTTAATGCAATTTGTAACTTTTCCTACAAATTATTTTTTTGAAAGTGGGTCAGAAAGATTTTACAAATGTGTATTGACTTTGTTCCATAAATTTTTGATTGGGTTTAAGTTGGAGGACTGGACAGATCAATCAAGCAAAATAATGTCATTATCAATAAATTATTGTTTTGTTTTATTGAATATATATTTGAAGTTATTATGTGGAATGTGAATTCACTAGCTTCCAACAGATTTTATTCGGTATATTAATTAGCATTTATTTTGTTATTTATTTTTTTTTAGTTCATCAATTTTATTAATAATCAAGTGATTTCAAATTATAGTTGTATTATTATTAAATTTTACAATTGGAGTAATATAGTAATCTTTTAATTGTTTATTAGACTTTTTTTTAGTAATATTTTCATCTATCTGATCCAAATAATTGAAACTTGTTTTTGTTAGATCAAATTATTTTTTATCAATTATTTTTAAATATATAGTCAAATTTTTTTTTATAATTATTACTCTTGGAAAAGCAAAATTGGATAATTATAAAGAAATTTTTTTATTATAAAAAGCAAATAAATTAATTATAAAAAATATGATTATAAAAATATTTGAATATATATTATATTTTTTATTGAAATTTTGACTTATAGTTCAATTGAAACTTATATCGAATTTAAATAATAATAGTATATTTTTCAAATAATATTAATTAGATAATATTTTATTTGTAATAATTTAAAAGAATATATAAATAATCAAATTTGAATTTATTTTTAAAGTTTCTGATTTTTTATTTTTGTAAATATATTGAATCAAAACTAAATTTATTTGTTTTAATAATATAATTTTTCTGATTGAATATTTTTTTGATCAAAGAATATATAGTAAATAATAAAATTATGAAATTATACATGTAATTTTATTGATAATTTTAGAATTTATATTCTTGTTGTATTCCATGACATGATTTTTTATTATAAATTATATGATATATTGTAATTAATCACATAATATATAACCTTGCCAATTAATTAACTAATTTTTGTTTTTTTTTTAGTTACTATATATAAAAAATATCTAAAATTATATATATATATTAAAAATTAATATAGCAAATGATCAATATAACAGATTTAATTTATAATGAACTATTTTTTAGAACCAGCTATAAATAATATTATATAAATTTTGTCTGTTATAATGAATTCATTGATTTATCAAATAGCATGTCAAGAATAAAGAGATCTATTATATTAATTTTTACTGTATAGTGAATTAAGACTTAAGTTAATTTGAATAATCTTATAATTATTCAAATTAATTTAATATATATAATTTATATTTTTAATATATTTAATAATTGATTAAATTCTATATAACATTATTATTATCAAAAAAAATAAATAAATATCTTTTTAATTTAGGTTGAATTTCTTTTCAATAAAAAAAAGTATCAAATACATTACTATTATAAAATCAAATTATAATCTGAAAAATTCGCAATATTAATGAAACAGAAATAATAATTAAACTCTTCTAATAATTTATATGATCAGTTTTCAGTTTGATTTTGTAGCAAGTTTTCTAAATGTGAATATTTGGTATTTTTTTATTATTGAATATTGTTACCATTTTAATGGAGCTTTAAAATACTCAAGGGTATTATGATATTCAAAGGGAAAATTCAAATATCTTAATGACAATTCATAGTCTTAATAATACTTTATGATTTTAGACTGAATATAAATTAAAGTACGATAAGTACTTATAAGAATCACTTAAAGGTTGATAACAGTTGTATTCTTTTAACGCAATAGCTGGACTGCTAAAAAAAGTTCTCAAAATCTCAATGTTAAATATAATATATGTATTAAAAACATCTTTAAATCTTTAAAGATCAAAATATAAGATATGATATTTATATTATCAACAATATGAAATTGAAGATAAGTGTATGAACAATGTATTATTAGCAATACAAAGTCAAAGATAAGTTTATGAGCAATATATTATTAGCAATATAATCTCAAAGACAGATTTATGAATTATAATAATAATTCCTTTATTTAATATAATGTTCAATA